CTGGAAGTAGTTGTACCTTGTTCTCAGAGGTACAACCGGGAAGACCATGCTATCAGCTTATTCACCCACATGGAGCTGATCCTGTATAAGGAAGAGCACTGACAGCCAGAAGAACTACACCAAAGCCCAGCGACTGGCCAGGGCATACGGCTTCACCTTTTTGGATTTTATTGGCCAGAGATGCACTGCTTTCCACTTCTGTTTGTTATTAACTGTGTTAACTTACCACTTTGTTTTTTTTACTATTAAACATATCACTTTTAATACACTAGATCCTACGCACTTTATTGTTGTTCTTCTATTACTACTGCCTTTGGATACCCTTCACTATTAGGAGTTGCTAGATAATTTGAGTTATTATTTTTGGATTTCCCTCTAGATATTCCCATTTACTGTGAGCTCCAGTTTTGATGTGGATATTAAATACACAAGTACTATGCACTTTTACCTTTCTCTTTTGTTCTAAAAAAGCAGTAGTGGCTGCCTGTAGATTAATGAGCATAATGTTCATTATGAGCCAAAGCAGTGCTTAGTAAAATAGATTATGAACCTAACCCTTCAGTTGTTCATAGGTCACTTCTCACAATCCAGAGACATACATTTTGAATAGAGAACACAGCAAACACTGCAGCCTTTTGTACCTGTCAGTGGCATAACCTTGGCATGACACTATATAAAGTCATGCAATCTCTTCCAGTTTTGCTGTTAAGTATGCAAGGAATGTGAAAATAAACTCTTTGCTCAAAGGTAAAGAAGTAAGAATGTTGGGACTGTGATAGGCCAGTGCCTCTCCCTGTGAGAACACAACCAAGATGTTGGCATGTTTTAAAAGAACCTGTATTGCCTATAGGATCCCTGCAGCTGATTTTCTCATGTCAAAACTGCCCCCTGATGACTAGATATCTGACAACTGGTGGGGTAAATATTAAGAACCTGAGTATGAATAAAGCAGAAGCAGGGTGATTATTGCATGGTAGGTCCCTAGGTACACATTCATTTCTAGCAAGCAGAATTGTGAGCTCCACAGCAGTGACATCACCAAATCTCACTGTAAACATCCTGAGACTAGCAGTCAGAGGCAAAGTGCCTTAGATGAGGTCTGCAGATATAAAGTTAAAGAGGAACTTCACTTCCTCCCCCATTCTCTTTTTAAATTCTCAATAACCTTGTTTGCTGGGTTATCCTTAACATACTTACATGTCCAGCAAATCCTGCCTTGTCATGCACAATCCTCTGATCCCCGCCACACTCCAGTTACCACACCACCATCTTCTTTACATACAGTATGTCATCAGGGGGCTGTCTGTCTCTTCCGGGTTCTTGCAGCTGGCCCTCTAAGGATGCACATGAGTGGCAGCACATCATTATGAGGCCAGTTCCAAGAACCAGCAAAAAGCAGTTGGTCCCCTGATAATGTGCAGGAGGGCATGTGCTGTAGAATACATCAAAGCTTCCTGGGATACTAACATCATACATCTCAGGAGGCTTCGGGGGCTCTAAAGCACATGCATTGCTGCAAAGGTGCTTGAGACACAAGTCTCACCTAGGCAAGAATCCCATAAATGTCAGGAAAAAGGTATTGTGGGGCGATTTGAATGTCCAAAATTGAGAGAAGAGGGGAGGGGGAAGGCCTGCTTTAAAAGGCTCAAGGCACAACAGTGTCTAATCACATGAAGTACACTGCTATTTTTATGAGTAATTCTAGACCAAAAGTAAATTTTTTAGAGTATTGCTTGGCAGAAATAACATTTCTTGGTGCTCCCTATAAAATAGCAAATATTTAAACTCTACTGCCTAGAATATTGTGTGCAATTATGTATAGAAAACATTATAAAACACAGTTCTACGGTACCAACAAGGCACAACACGCCGGAAAAGTCAACCTTTAATCACTATGATTAATTGAGCTCAATTTAATATTAAATGATGAATGGTAAAGGTTTTGGAGATTGTTGTAGTTAACTTATTGGTGTAAGGTGTTATTGTGTAATAACTAATCATGCCACAAGCAGGTTGCATTATGCAAAAGTAATCACCAGCAACTAATTATAAACTTATTTTATTAGCTATGTAATATAGCATTGCATGTCGGTCCATAGAGGGACAGGCCGCTCAGTTTTGGCAGAAGTGGTGAGATATGCTCTTACTTTACAGAAAACCAATGCTAAGAAAAATAAAGAAGCTGTTATTGCTGACCAACTTGTGAAAATGATGGTTGCCTAGTGGTCTGTGGCTTTAATAATCTTTAAGTCACTGACCAGGAATCAGAATGCAGATAAGAAAGTCAGGGGAAAGTAAGAACACTGGATTCTCAAACCTGCATATAACATTTCCCTGTAATTTATTTTTATTGTTACCAGTTATTCTGTGGGGCTTTGTTTAATAAAACAATACATAGCATAATGACAGCAAGCAATTTTCAACCATGACTAACAACTAAAAAATCAGATCTTTACTGAAATGACTAAAGTAAATTGAATTTTGATAGGTTTCTATGGGTTACACTTTGCATTGTATTGTACTTTGCACTGCCTTTTTAAATAAGTCAATATGTTTATTTGATGTGGAAGCTGAGATTCATCAGTAATCATTTCCTTTTCTATACAAAGTACACAGTCAGGACGCCTTTTGTTCCCAGCGAACAACCTTTTGTATCTGTCTTGACCAGGGAGTCAGTTTAGGGCTGTTATGTCTACCTCATACTGTAAAGCAGCTTTCCTCAACCTATCTAACATGGATGAGCCCTTGAAATAACTTACAGGTCTCAGTGAACAATTACTATATCTACAGCTCCTGGTACATTAGCACGAGCAGTACATTGACATATAAGAATACATAAAAGAATAAGAAATATGGCCTACCTAAAGTACTTGACCATCACTTTGAATTACAAAATTATTTCCAGTAAAAAAAAAAAAAATGAAATAAACAGTCTTAATGGCCAGATTAGAAATAGCGACATTGATAATTGTATTGTTTTCCTGGTGGTCAGTGGAAAAATGCCCCTTATATTAATGGTCAGTAATGAAGAACCCCTTACACTGGTGGTCACTGGGAGAAGGGTCCCTAAAGATTAGTGGTCAGTGGGAGAAGGACAACCTAGCATTTTTTGGTCATTGGGAGAAGGGTCCCTGCTGATTAGTGTCTAGTGGGAGAAGGACCACTATACATTGGTAGTCATTAAGTGAAGGGTCCCTATAGATTAAGGGTTAGTGAAAGAAATACCACCTTACACCTTAAGAAAATGGCTCCCTTAGACTCATGGTCAGTGAGAGGAGGGTCATATCACAATGGTTGGGAAGATGGGCAGAGTGAAGATGGGAAGAATGCTCCTTACCTTAGTGGTCAGTGGAAAGAAAGCCCCCCTTAAAGATAGCTAAAAAGAGCATTAGTATAGATGGTAATTTATGTGAGAGGCAGAAATAGCTCATTGCTCAAGGAACCTCTAGCAACCTCTGGCGAAACACTGGTTACATTCTAAAGGTCTCCTTTAAGATGAGAAAATCATAAAATAAACCCTTATATGTTCAATGGAAGATCAAACAGCATGATTACATTAATGTAAGCATACTGAGAAATCCAAACCACACGCTAATCACACATGTAAAAGAATGGAAAGGTCTAAGGAAAATCTGTATGCCGAACACTCATTTTATTACACATCAAAAATATCACAAACAGACTGTAAACCCCCATCAAAAAAATCTCACTGAGTGAGTTAGTTTATGAATATGGATTCATGGTCAGTAAAGTAATCGGTGGAGCAGCTTGACAGCCAGGCAACTTGCTGGTCAACAGTTGTGACCTCTGTGTTTCTCTTAGCACTCTATAACATATGGGGTCTATTCACTCAGCTGCCATAGGCAGCCGAGTGAATGACCGACCTGAAGCGAAGTGAGCTGAGCGTTGTTTGGCTTTTCACTTCAGTCTGGTAAGGCTGATTTCAGCCGTATATCGTCTGAAATCAGCTGTACATCTGGTGGCTTCGCGTGGCTTTGGGTCGGCCGAACATGCTCAGCATGTTCGGCCGACCCGAAGTGCAGAAGGAGTTCGACTCAGCCGATCCAACATCTGGATCGGCTAAGCCGAACCTCCAGCAGGCTACTCGCTGCTGTTCGGTCTATTCTTATAGATGCCGAACAGCAGTGCGAGAATAGCCGAATGCCGCTGACCTGATGGAGAACTGCAGCAGAGGGCGGGTGCACTATCTAGTTTGCTATTGCAAATTGAAATAGCCAATAGGAATCTAGCAATGCATTCCTATGGTGAAAAAACGGCTCCGTGTCAGAATAAAAAAAAAAGCAGTGTTTCTCCCCTTGGCGGCCGGGAGCAGGAGACTCCCGAAGCGTCCGGGAGAGTTAGGCTGTCTGGAGATCAGTGTCCCTGGTTAGCTGGTAACCAGGGACGCTGATCTCTCTGCAAGTGGCCGGAGCCAGCCGTAAAATCACGTCTGGCTCCGCCCAGCTGTAAGAAGCAGGCTGTCGGCCAGCTTCGGCTTTCAGCGCGGCTCAGTGGAGCCGAGGCATATGCCTTCGCCTCAACTGAGCCGCTTGGCCAAGTTCGGGAGCTGTACGGGCTATAGTGAATAGCCCGTACAGCAGCCCTTCGGTTCTACTGAACCGAAGGGGTCCGGGGGCCGAAGCTAGCCGAAGGATCGGCTGAAGCTACGGCTAGATCCTTCGGCTGCTTCGTGAATAGGCCCCATAGTGTAACTGCACACTCATACAGACTAATCAAATATGATTAATACTGACATTGTGGTCATGTAGATGTGGTTTTAAGGTTATTATTACTGGTTTGATTCAGCCTCTCATTTTTGTCTTCATGTGCAAAATTTCCAACTCTGGTCAAAAAGCAGGAACCTATAGATACCAGTCAGAAAGTGCATGCATTAATCTAGGTTACCGATTGGCTGTCATGGCCAACACACCACTGCAAATCATTTTCTGTTTTAATATCATATCAGTATGATATAACTCAATTTCTATTTTTTTTTGCAGCTGATGCAGCGATGAGTCAGTCAGGATCTACTGGAAGCAAGCATGGATCCACCAAGTAAGAACTGTTATCTCTCTTATTATTGCATATTATTTATATATATATTTCATTACACAGATCCACAGTCATAGATGGTGCTTAGAAATCAGAAAAAATCCATCCACAGAAACTTTTTTTCAGAACTGATGCAAACCCAAAAATAAATGCTTGCATCTTACAAGAGTGTAGTAAGTTATGAGCCGTGATTTTAGCTTAGTACCTTAAGGGCCATTGACCCCTCTAGTAGTATGAGCTTTGCCATAGCAGTTACCTTTACATCCACATCATATTTATTTAATCTAAATAAAAACAAAACATTAAGGTATTTGTATACTCTGCATTTCACAATAATAATAGTAATATTATTATTTTGTAGGTTTGTAATGAAAAAAATCAAAAGAAAACCCTTTTCAGTTTCCCTTATCAGTCATCTAGTCCCTGCAGGCCAGGGCTTTGGAAAGGAAGAAGCTGTTTGAAGATGCCAGCGACATCCCTAAAACAGATGTTGCTGCTAAATGGTCAGTGTAGATGCCAATCAACTTGCAGGGGGTAGTCACTGCAGCAGAACTGCTTCTAATAGGGTGACAAAACTGCTGCAATATTGGGCGCTAGGGGGACAGAGTTGTTAGTTTATTAAAGGGAGAAATCAGAGTGGGTAGTAACTGGTATGATCAAAAGGCATTTTTTAAACATAGGCCCCTTACCAATGGGTGTTGTGTCAGTCTGTTATTAGCCCGTGATTAAACGGATCAAGAATGGACTTCAGCATATCCCTGTGGGAGCTGGATTTAAGTGAATGTGCTTTAATTTACATCCCTTTACATCCAGGTATGTTCAAGATCGTTGGACCTAATGCAATAGGTCTGTGTCCAAGATCACTTTTGTGGACCTGACCAGATGTTGGCAAATATAGACAAGCACAGGTTGTTGATGTTTACATCAAGCCACCTATATGGATTACTTGGATCAGTATTTTCTCCATCAGAAGATGGAGGAAGTAACAGAATGGACACAAATATCACATATTTGGCCTCCATTTCCGTTCTGATCCGAATCAGCAGGGGATCAAGCTAGGATCCCCTACTTAGATGCAACAAAGGGTGCCTTTATAAAAGGGGTCTTACTTATACCAATATAAAAAAAAAACATTGCACAGCTGCATTTGCAAGGTGAAAAGGAAGCTATTTGCACAACTTTGGTATTTGGACTTACATACACTTTAAATGAAAACTAGCTAAGTACCTGAATAAAACTCTGGGTAGCTTCTTGTAATCCCCTTCAAGTAGCCCTCAACTGAGAGAGGGGCAGCACTAGAAGCCAATTAGGTGTCCTGCAGTGCACCTGCGCTGACAGGTAGGGTGCTGATAAGGTAAGAGAGCACAAGCATCACCTCCTCAGTCTGCTGCTGCTCCTTCACTGTCCAATCACAGGCAGAGAAGCGACCAGTATATAGTGCTCTAAGAGTAAAGAGAAAAGTCAGGTAACCACCAACTTTGCTGTGCTAATTGGGTAAGCTGTCTAAATCTGGGGACTGGATGGACAAAAATACAAATCCTTTGGCGGGTACAATAGCTCCCTTATATGAATCACAACTATATATTTCAAGTTTACTTGGAGTTCATCTTTAGGTCTTCATATATGATTAAATATGTTTATATGCTTTAATAAACCCCAAAAAGTTAATATTTCTTTCCAGATTTGGGGTTATTTGCTAATGAGCTTTCTGTTTCTTTCAGTGGAGGATCAGGCAAAATGAGCGCAAAGGACCTATTTGGTACGTTTCTTATGGTTATTGATATGTGATTGAATTATTTTTTTGTAAAAAGTATATAATTTTTACTTATAATGTCTGGTCACGCTGTGTGCACTTACATATCTGCCTCTGTTCATCTGTGTATAAGTATGAGTGCTTAGTTTGTAGAAAAGTATACATACAAGTATACATGCATTGATCATTCACAACTGTGCAAAAGGATGTGTATGCCTGCTTATAAATATCAGTAAAAGTCGCCGGGAGTCTGTTTAAACAGCCCCGATGCTGGCGATGTACACTGTACGTCGTCAGTCACGAAGGGGTTAAAAAAGCAGGCCTTGGGGTTTAAGTAGGCTAACGCTGGCTATACACTATTATTATTATTATTATTATACAGGATTTATATAGCGCCAACAGTTTGTTCAGCGCTTTACAATATAAGACATTACAATCACAATACAATTCAAGACAAGATGGTAAGGGGGGCCATACCCCTGAGGGCTTACAATCTAAAAGGGAGAGGGAGGTGATACATGAGGAGGTAGCTGTGTGGGGATGAATTGTTTGAGAACGTGATGATTGAGTGGTTAGGTTGAGGTGGGATAGGCTTCCCTGAAGAGATGAGTCTTGAAGGATCGCCTAAAGGCAGTCAGAGTGGGAGATAGACGGACAGGTTGGGATACAGAGGATGGAAGAGACTCTAGTGAAGACCTGGAGGCGAGCATGGGAGGAGTTGACAAGGGAGCTGGAAAGCAGAAGGTCTTTTGAAGAGCAGAGCGGACGGTTAGGGTGATGCTTTGAGACAAGACTTGAGATATAGCTGGGGGCAGAGTTGTAGATGGCTTTGTAAGTCATTGTTAATATTTTGAATTTTATCCTTTGGGCTATTGGAAACCAGTGCAGGGATTGGCAGAGGGGGGTTGATTAGGCGAATGAGTCTAGCAGCAGCATTCATGATCGACTGAAGGGGGGATTGCCTGTGTAGAGGTAAGCCAATGAGGAGAGAGTTACAGTAGTCTAGACAAGATATAACAAGTGAGTGAATGAGTGATTTTGAGGTTGCATTGGTGGGGGAAGGGGCGTATTTTGGAGATGTTGCGAAGGTGAAGGCGGCAGGATTTGGATAGTGATTGGATGTGGGGAAGAAAGTTGAGGTTCGAGTCAAGGATGACACCTAGGACCTGGGCATGGGGGAGGGTTGGATAGCTGTGTTATCAATCTCAAGGGAAAAGTTGGGGGAAGGTGCACGGGCGGGATGAAATATCATGAGCTCAGTTTTTGAAAGGTTGAGTTTTAAAGGAGAACTATGACATGAGTGATTTCCACTCACCTCATAGTTCTAAGCCGACCTGTGACAATGAGACTGTCACAGGTCGGCTCAGTAGATCGGGAGGTGAGAGAACACATACCGGGTTCCCTCACCTCTCGATCCTGTCATGGCTCTCTGCCGTGACAGGGGGAGGGGCTGGATTCCCCTCTCCCCGCTCCGATCTGCCAGCGCTGACTGGCGGAACGGACGGGGTAGGGGGCGGGTACAGCTGGCTCTGCCTCTAGATAGGCAGAGCCAGCTGTCACTCACGCAGCTGGGCGGATCCCGTCATCTAAGTCGGGATCCGCTCCAGGTGCGGCGTCTCAGTATACCGCGAGCTGTAGCTCGCGGTATACTGAGCTTAGGGTAACGGGAGGACGCTAGTTTGTGTCCTCCTGTTACCCTAAGGAGAACTATGGGGAAAAAAACTGACCCCATAGTTCTCCTTTAAGAAGTGTTGTGACATCCAGACGGATATGTCAGTTAGTAGATTAGTGACACGCAAGGACACTAAGGGGGAGAGTTGTGGAGTAGAAAGATATATTTGAGTGTCATCGACATAGAGATGGTATTGGAAGCCATGTGAGGTTATTAACTCACCAAGGGAGGAGGTGTAGATAGAGAAGATAATACACTAGTAAAATTTTGTTCCAAAAATTGGTTTTAGGAACGTTAGTTAGTTTTTATATTAAAAAAATTTAATTTCCAAAATCGAATATTGAATTTATATGAAATGTTGAAATACATTCATCAAGTCTCTGATGTCATTATCAAATGTTCTGCTGAGATTTCTCACATGAAAGTTGAAAATCAGTGTATGGCCAGCTTAAGAGGTTCTTCAGTCTCCCCTCTGCAGTCATCACTCTGACTGGAACTTTAGACTAGAATAGTAACTTCATTTTAAGTCACAACATGAGTGGAAAAAGCAGGGGCTGATCTGTGTGCAATATGCATACAAATAGCCCAGAACATACCAGGGAATCATAGTGACATCTAAGAAGAGGATTTTAGTCCAGAAAGTAAATGGTGGCCCTATATCAGGGTAGGGAAGCTCCATACTCCAGTTGTTGTGGTACTGCAAGTCCCAGGACACATGGCAAAACTGACAGCTACAGGCATGACTCCCAGAGGCAGAGGCATGATGTGATTTGTAATTTGCACGACAGCTGGAGTGCCAAGGTTGCCTACCCCCAGCAGGCCAGTGCTGTCTCTATTGCCTAAATGAAGATGGCACTGGCCTGCTTGAATGAAAGGAATATGAAGACATTGTCGTGAGCAATACTGTGATCTCTGTGAGAGGTAATAAATACCTGCAAGTAAAACACCTACACATTACATAGCATGCGTGTACTGCTTGCACGTAACATAATAATAAAGCCGTTGCCAGGTTCACTTTAAGCTGTTTTATCCCCC